GGAGTTGTCTCGGCTCGGGAGCTTGGGTACGATCGGGGAAGGTCAGCTATGAGCACCCCCTTTCGCCCGGTCCGAAGACCGGCCTCAACAAAATTCAGGATTCGTCAAATTTCATCAGGGCTTCTCATCTCCAAAACCACCTACAAAATTAGTGGCTTTGAAGGTTGTGATTTAATTTTATTTCATGTCATCTAAGTACTTGAATAGTTGAATTCATTAGTTTTTTTTATTAAAGAACAAAATTTATTCCGACCAAAATTCATACATCTTCAACATACCCCAGCTGCTTTGTGTGAGACAATCAAAATGCCATTATAAGGCTTCTGAATATGACATTAAAATTATTTTTCTAGAAGAGAACAACAGAAATACCACAACACGAAGTCGAGGTCTTGATATGTCAGGCTGTTGTGGTAGAAGCTCAACAACATCTGGGGTGCAATGGGTGCCTTCAATGACTGTTCCCTCACTGATTGCTATTAGGTGCCGCTTATTGACCACACCATCTATAGTTGCAATGTATCTACAGTCACAATTTTATAATATTTTTAAAAAAAAGTTTAGCAGGATACAGAGAAGCACGATAGAAGCATTATATATGAAAATCAGGTCAATAATGAATATTAAATAATAAAAAAATGAAAGGAACCTTACTCCTTTGATAAATTAAAAGAAGGATGTGAAAGTTTTTGAGCAAACTCCCCTGAAAATGGATGGCAGCTAGATTTAGATGAATCCATTCTGACTTCCATAATTAATCCAATAATGATCAAAATCAAAATGATTCAATTTCAACCATTATTATGAAACACCAAACACAATAGTATAGGCACATATGCTCAGTCACAGCAGTACACATACCATCATTTGTTACAATAATTAAACCACTTGTGGCAACATCAAGGCGGCCAACAGTAAACAATCTTGGTTTAGGTTGTCCCCGATTCCTTTTATCCTGAAAAAGCCCATTTTTATATAATTATTGCAAAGCCAAAAATCCAGCAAGGATAAAAAAGTAGGCAATGGTTCACCCAAAAAGAAAAAACTTATTGACGTTGCAATAATGTAATTTTTGCATACCCAATTCTTCAAATAATCATCAAAAAGAGATATCACTGATTTAGTCTCTTTCTCCCCAGAAGAGCATATGTACCTGCAATGATATAACCCCACAAGTACCAAATAATTCAAACTCAAACTAGGGGAGGGGGGAACACACAAAAAAACAAACAAACAAACAAACAAACAAACAAACAAACAAACAAACTCTGATGAGTCAAAGAGATGACGAACCCTTTTGGCTTGTTCAAGGCCAAATACACCTTTGGAGGCAATTTCTTAGGAAGGCGGTTTCCATTGACATAAATTATATCCCTGGCAGGATCAACTCTAGTCTGCCCATAATCAAAAGATACATTACAACATTAACAGTACTCTTGATCCGTGACTTTACAATTGTAATCTCAGGCCCTGTTTGATTAGCAGGACTCATAGTGAGAGGATTAAGAATCTATGGGATTAATATAGGATTGGTTATCTAGCTAAATTAATGAGATAAATAATTCTCACTTATTCATATTTGTTTTGCAATGGATATGGAAATATATAATCTCAATTATATGTTCGATATGTATTATTAATTGTATGATTAAAAAATCCACCAATTTTGCTAGATAGAATGTCCATCGAAATCCAATCCAAACCAAACCAAGCCTTAAGTCCCATCAAATGGGATCGACTACATGAATCCTCCTTCTCCACGCGGCCCTATCAAAGGACATTTCGTTAGTCAAATTAAGTAGATCTATATCTCTATTTACAACGCTAACCAACGTTAATTTAGGCCTACCCCGTCCCCTAACGTGTCCATCTACCGTTACAGTATTGTATCTCTTCACTACTGCCTCTGTTGGTCTCCATTGAATATGACCAAACCATCTCAATCGATTCTCTCTCAACTTATCTTTTATCGGTGCTACTCCTACACATTCCCAAATATACTCATTCCTAATTTTGTCTTATCTAGTCTTGCCACACATTCACCTTAACATTCTCATCTCAGCCACACTTATCTTATCTACATATTGTTTTTTAGTTACCCAACACTCCGTCTCATATAACAACATTGGTCTAATAGTCGTTCTATAGAACTTACCTTTTAAGTCTAGTAGGTATTCGTTTATCGCACACTACCCAGACGCACTTCTTCACTTACACCATCCCGCCTAAATCCTATGGACCACATCCGCTTCAATCATCCCCGCTGTTGTGATAATCGACCCTAAATAACGAAAATATTCACTCTTAGGCAATCTTGGTTCTCAATCTTCACTTCTCCTCTGCTTTCATTATTACTTTTACTAAATTTACACTCGATGGAATGTGAGTAACATAAATTAATAATCTCAATCCTATGTTATAATCCACCAATCAAACATGCCCTCATAGTATTATCTCCTAATAGATTTTCCAACAACATAAACAAAGGCAACATAGAATCAAATGCTACATAGCACAGAAACGAACCTGAGGAGTGTTGCACACAGAACCATTAACAGTCACCCTTCCCTGGAAAATAAGCTCTTCGCTGCTCCTTCTCGATGCCACTGACAAGACAAGACAAGCCATGGGCCCATGACACTCGATAAAGAAGGAAGTGGGTTAAAAGCTGGGAAGTGGCTTTTAACCCACTTCCCAAAATAGGCCATAATAATTCAAAACTAATCACACACAAAACAAAAGTTTGGCATTTGCCACATTTCCAAATTACCCTTTTGCTTTTGAAAAAAAAAAAAAAAGACCCAATATGAAATAGCATCGAAATTGGTGATCAAAGAATCAAAATTCAAAATCATACCTCCGGAAGAAGCAAGAACCTTACTGAGGCGCTGAGGAGGATCTCTGAAATTCTGATTATAAAATCTCCTTGCTGCTTTGGAATGCTTGGGCTCAGATGTTGGGACAGCATTGATTGAGCTCTCTTTCTTCTTCTTCTTCTTCTTGGCGGACTGAGTCTTGGCATTGGCCATTTCGTGAAGAAGACGAGGCGGTGGGGTGGACTGGAGAGTGAGGTTGCCCTTCTCGTCGCGGACGATCCATGGGATGAAGAGTTGTTGACCTAGTTCGTCGGGAGAGATTGGGTCTGGGTTGGGTTTTGGGGTTTTGGGTTTGGGAGGGGCGAAGGTGATGTTGAATTGGGTTGTGGACGGCGAAGAGAGAGATGAGGTGAGGGTGCGGAGGTGGGAGCGAGTGCGGATGAGAGACGAGGGTCGAGAGAGGTGGAGGGAGTTCAGGGCCGACGACGCGGCGGCGACTGCGGCGGCTATCGCCGCCATCTCTGGTGGCGGTGTGGTGGCGGGTTTCGGATTGGTTGCTGTGATTCTTTTGGTGTGGCTTTGGAGATGAAGATGAGTGGGGGTTCATATTTGATTTTTAATTGGTTTTGGTGTGATTTTTAGAAATGAAATGAAAAATTATAAAAGGAAATTAAAAAATAAAATAAAGTTTGAGTGTTGTAATAAAATAAAATTTTAATTTTATTAATTTGAATTATAAATTTTTTTATTTTTTTAATTTAAAATATTTTTTATTTTTATTAAATAAAATTGATAAAATTTTTGATATTTTAGTCATTAAACTCAATAAAAATGTTATTTTAACTATTTTATGTATACTTTTAAATTGAGTTTATGGACAAAAATATTTTTTCCCGTTACCTTTTCTCAATGAAAACAAATCAAAATGTTACGATTTAAATTGATAAAAATAAAAATTATGAGTTTATTTTGTTATAAGTTTCAAATCTTACGGTTTATTTTTATTTATTTATAATTGTTGGAAAGTCTAAATTCAAATTTGTTTGGTCAAACAGTCCATGTTAGACTAGGGAAAATTTATTTCTAAACACACATTTACACTTAATGAAATATTATTTTAATGACAATTATATGTTAAAGTAAAATGACTATAATAGACATTAAAACACACCCTTAATATTATATTTAAATCTTCTGTACACTTTTTTTTTTTTCAAAAAAAAAAAAGCTCAGTATACATCTTCTGAGTGAAAAAACAAAAAACAAAAAAAAAAACCCCTAATTTATTCATTGTTTCTCACTGCTTCCATGGTTTCTAGATGGCCTTAACAATATCTACAGTGGGTTGGCTTTAACCAGTTGAAGTAACAAAAGAGAGACTCCTAATTTCATTTTGATAGAGGAGTGTTTTGAAAAGTTGGTAAAAATTTAATTTTTTTAGTTTTTTTAGCTTATTTTGTCTTTTTATGGGTAAGTTATGTAAGAGGTGATGTAATTCAAAATGAGTAAAAAGTTGAAAATTGACTTTTTACCAGCTTCCCAAAAGACTCCAGAGCCTAGATACGTTTTCAAGTTTTGAGATCGTTAAATCACCATTCAAACTATTATTGATCAGTTATATTGATTTAAAGAGAAAATAATGTTGGAGAACATTTTGATCATCATCATTCAAGGAAAGTGCACTTGAAAATTTCAAAAAAAAAAGAAAACAACGAGTTTCTTACCAACCTGACACTGCAAGGCAAGGAAATGATTGGCACACTGCAATCATACAAAATTCGGGACTTAACTTTTGAATTAAACAATGAAATTCGGAAACCAAGTTCTAAAAATATGTGAATATTTCGGAAGTTAATAGTCAAATTATTGCTTTTTATTCAATAAATTAGTGCCAAATGCACGAAATCATAAACATTCGAAGAAAAAAACGAGGGTCTTCAATGGAGTGCAAATAGAATGGATTGCAAATAGATAACGCATAAAAGATTTTGAAATGGATAGAAGATATACTCACCTTCAAGAATGTAATGGAGAATCTTCAATGGAGTTGTCAAAATGTAGGGTCTTCAATGGAGATGTCAATGGGTCTTCAATAAAGTTATCAATGAATCTTCATTGCTTCTTCAATGGAGGACTTAACTTTTGAATTAAACAATGAAAGTCGGAAACCAAATTCTAAAAATATGTGAATATTTCGGAAGTTAATAGTCAAATGATTGCTTTTTATTCAATAAATTAGTGCCAAATGCACGAAATCATAAACATTCGAAGAAAAAAATGAGGGTCTTCAATGGAGTGCAAATAGAATGGATTGCAAATAGATAACGCATAAAAGATTTTGAAATGGATAGAAGATATACTCACCTTCAACAATGTAATGGAGAATCTTCAATGGAGTTGTCAAAATGTAGGGTCTTCAATGGAGATGTCAATGGGTCTTCAATAGAGTTATCAATGGATCTTCATTGCTTCTTCAATGGAGCTTCATTATTTCTTCAAAGTTTACATCAGGTGTGTGGAATGAGGGCTTTTAACAAAAATCGGTAAAGGTGTGTAGAAAGAAGGTTTAGGTGATGTGTGTACAAGGATATGAGTTAGGGTATAATTGGAACATCAAGTGTACAAAATGAGAATAATAATCAATAACCAAATTAATAAGCATATACACTAAGAAATGATGTGCATTGAGGTAAATAGATGTGTGGAAATAAAATTTCCTGCTAAACTATTCAGGCCAAAAGGACACGACTCTGCAAAATGACCAAACTACCCTTATCCAATCTAAACTCTCTTCATTGGAACCACACTTAGGAGTTACTTGGGAAGTACTAGATTAATATACATTTTGAATTTTTACAAAATATATATGTGTGTGTGTGTGTGTGTGTGTGTGTGAGAAATGTGGGTGGGGTTAAAGTGATGTGATAGAGAAGTGGTGTGGCCTAAATAAAAGGTAATGAGACCAAAATAAGATGGTTGTGATTGAAATAAGATAATATGTTAAAATAGCATGTGCTATTGTAGCACATACCAAACAAACCCTTATTATCTATTAAAATTAAACCCATTTTATTCTCTCTCTTTCTCTCCTCAATCTGTTGAATAGGAGTTAAAGTCTACTCACTTCTTTCTCTCGCTCTGCAAGTCTTCACCACTTCAGATCCATTACTGCAACGAGATCAGTGACCACAACGATGGCGCTAGAGTCTTTAGGAACACTTTGGAGGTAACGCTAAAGAGTTATTCGATGGTTTCTGGTTACAAAAAAGGTGATTTCGAGGAGTTTGGCTGACTATGCTCAACTACGACGAAAATTTTAGCCAAATCGGAAGCTCATCATCTTTCCCAGATCGGCGTTGGGTTCATCGCTAGGTTGTCTCTCTCACATCGCCTCTCAGATCGGCAGTGGGTCCATCGTCTCTCTCATATCTAAACTCATCGCTGGATCTTCGATAGGATTTTATCGGCAGTTATCCCCAACGCTGCTGTAACGGCCCTAAAATATGTGTCACGATGATCGTCATGTAATTATGAATTAATACGATTTAATTTGGAAATATCTATCTAAATTGGAAAAATATCTGTTGGGGCTACGACTTCAGAACTTAAATTAATGACCTTAATGGGTTCAAAAATCAAAATTGAATACATGGATATGCTAATAGGAATTTTTTGCGCCATTTGGGAAGTTTAATTGAAAATTGATTTCGTCTAATTCACTAAGTTGTATTTGGCTTATCATTTATACAATGATATATATATATATATAAGACATGAGCTCATTCTTATCAACTGAGACCTAACAAAATATTAGGAGAGAGGGAGAGAGAGAGTTCTAGAGAGCTTCAAGAGGGAAAGGAGAGAACTTCGGGAAAACATAAAAGATTGGCTTGATCTTCGCAAATGTCCAACTCAAGGTAAGCTTTTCACTTAAATTTCTTGACATTGGAACTTCTACACCATCATTCTCTATGATTTAAGTTTGAATAGGATGAATACATGGTTAATTAGGAGTTTTGTTGATGTAATGCAAGATTAGAACTTACATAGCTTGATATGGAAAACTTGAAGAAATTACTTCATAACTTTGGCACACATCATGTTCATACACTTGTTTCTTGCATGAGCTTTGGGATTTTAGGAGGAAATCTCCATGGATTTTGATTTTGGAACTCATCACATGCATAGTTCTTAATTTTATTCTTCAATTCTTAAGTTTGATTTTCATGAACTTGAAGTTGATTTTTGCAAAAGATTGAGTTTCCATTCAAACAGATTTTCGAACTGGAAATGCACCCAGGCCACTTGAGCGGCCAACCTTCATTTGTTCAAAGTTGCATTATGCTTAACCACCGCTCGTGTGGCCAAGGCCACCACACGTGCGGCCAACCAGGCAGATTTTTCCGTTTTGTTTTCTTTTAGTTTTTCTGACTTACGAGCCTTCATGCACATGGTTTTCACGTGTAATACACATCCATATGTATAGCATGAACACGAATGAAATTAAAGAATTAATAGAAATAATTTAACGAATAAGTAACAGATGAAACGAATTAGTTTAAGAACCGATTGCATAAATTGAATGTGTTATGAAATGTTATGCTCGGATATGTTTCTGCAGGTTGAGCTGTTGAGTTGTATCACCGACCAAGCACTGTGAGTAACATTACTGTAAAGATATGTTCATATGAAATATATTTGAAATGTTGTTGGATATATTATGTTTTTTGAAATGTTATTTTGTTAAAGTGAACGAATATCTGGTTTTGAATATACTGTGGCATCAAAGGAATGGTCCCAAGTCATGGGGGACAACATGTTAATGGGGGTCCATGACAAATAAGTGATTACGAGATCTTTCGTTAACCACTTCATTATGGTGATATGTGTTTAATCGATATCCGGAACCGATTACTCTAGTCGAAATCGATCACTCTAGTCAGAAGACGATATGTGATATGTTCTGTTGGATGTACTACTATTATGTTCTAGTATGAGACTGATATGATAGATTTGTTATGGTCGGTTTTCTGTATATGATATGGTTCAGAATTCGTTCATTAACCTTTTTACTTTAATGTTATTCACTGAAATTTCGCTCACTGTTTGTTTATATATATGAATGGGTGAGCGTCTTAGAGGTCAATCCTAGATGAGCACCGTTAGTCAAGCTACTCGGTGCCTCCGAGTTGAGGCTAGGTCTAGAGGACCGTTGACTAGTTTTGTGCTCTTGTTGTGGGAATTTTGATAACATGTATATGATAATGGAAGGTTTTGTGCATGATATTACGTATGTATTGTACAGTGGGTAAATTAATGTTATATGCATCTGAGTTTGTCCATATAGATTCTCAGTTTAATGGACTATTTGTTGAATTTATGCTATAAGGTTCTGCTAGCCCCGATTATTTTGATTTGTACAGGAAGACCTTTAGGGCCGGGTTTAGGTCGTGACACCTACCTTAACCAACACCATCTTCACTCAGATCTAGCCGAGAGAAAAAGATCAAACTCAATCTAGACCTCCGGCACCGTCGTTGTCAACTCTGGTCTCCTTTTAGGTCAACTATATATGGTTCCGTCATCAACTCTAGTTCTGTTATCGACTCTGGTCTTTG